CAAGGCCAGGTTGGACGGGGCTTTGAGCAACCTGGTCTAGTGGGAGGTGTCCCTGCCCGTGGCAGGGGAGGTTGGAACTGGATGGTCTTAAGGTCCCTTCCAACCAAACCATTCTATGATAAAAGCAAAGTGAGTAGAGACAGTCAAGAAATTAATTTCAAATGTACACTCCCAGTCTGAACTAACACACATATGTTGACCTCTAACCAAGTACCCACAGCCTTATGTTGTGCCCTTTAAAAATCAATTGATTGCAAGAACATGTTTTCCCAAGAAATGACAAACATCTTCCTTCCTGAAAGGGAAGGCTACAGCGAAAATGGGGAAACTCTTCAGACTCACCAAAAGGAAGATGGACCAAAAAGCCAAAAAACAGATTATATGTCTCATAAACAATATAGATTAACACACACCTTGAAAAATACAGCTTACACATGTGTATCTCTAAATGCTACAGTTCAAAATACCAAACAGTATAATTTTGGTTAATTTTGTGAAAGACAAACATTAAATTTAATAGAGATATATATAAAATACAATTCAAGATTAGGATAGTTAAGTCAACAGCATAGACTTCTCGCGATGTCTCGTTCTACTCTGTTCAAATGCTATGACTACTGGTTTGTCTATTGGTTTGTTTTTGAAGCTACTAGCATTGTTTCACTAACACTTAAAATTATTATTCTTCACCTCACTTGTATAACTGTTTCAAATTTCAAAACTATTTTCAAGTTAGTTTTGCCACAACTATGCACTCCATGCTATTTTAGTTAATTTTAGAAAAGCGTAATTGACAATCAAGACTAGCAGCATTAATTCTACCTGTAGATCACTAGCAAAGTGCAAGCAAAAAAGTGTAGAGAAAAAAAAATGTCAGCTATGAACACAAAAATAAAGGCAAGCTTCAAAGCATCAAGCTAAGCTTTTGTAATGTGTATAATTATTTCCCACAAAGGTACATTAGGAAGTCATACGGAAGCAATAACGGATTATCACATGAAGAGAGGTGTGCACACCAACAGGCAGATACTACTAATTACAAAATCACACCAAAATGAAAAAACATCAAAACTCTAACTTCAGAGAAGTATCTAAAAATCGCATTTCAGAAGTGAAAATTATCCATCAGCTAGATCATTGGGAGATTTCAAAACAAGCTTGTTTTAAAAGCAAAATGCAGAGTGATAAAAAACAGATACAGAAGAAAAGTAACTTATTTTAATTTTTTACAATAGAACTGTCCTACCACCAATAGAGCTGAGCTAATAGCAGAGCAAAGACAGAAAACATTCTGTCTTGTAAAAGCATGGGCTACTGCCACTTGACATTTTTGCCAAATTATCTTTTCCAACATGATTAATGATAGAACAACTGTTGCAAGCCATTCTCAGTAATAAAACTGCAGTTATTTTAAACAGGTTTTACACAGTTTTTTTGGGGGTGGAATCAGTAACAAGTATTTTGAGTAAAATATGTATTAAAGGAAAGTTTACAGCATTACACGAGTTTTTTTTTTTCCTTTTCACCTCTGAGAGACAGATCATATATCAGTATATATACACACACTTTTTGTGGTATGTATTGTAAAATCTAGACTCAATAAGCATGTGTGTTGAACTGTTCCATTCTGAGAAGTCCACACACCATAATAATTGCAAATGCTATCCTGAGGTAAAACAGATTTTCATCTCTAATTCTTGTTCAGTGTACCAAGGGTGGAATAATGGACAGATCTATGCTTCTGATGTGTTTTTACAAACTCTATTTCATTTCATAAGGGAGACAGGGTTCCTGTTTTCTCTCTGTTTACTTTACAGATAGAACAGAGATCTTTACTAAAATATTTATGGTATCACTTACAAAATATTCCAACTGTAAATCTTCACAAATATCCATACTCAGAAATACTTGTTTGTTTTACAAACAATCATAACACCAGGGGCTCTAGAGATAAGACCTAAACCTTAAGGTAAAGGTTTACTTTTAATAAATTCAATATAAATTCTTTGTGATACAAAATTGATTATTCCTTTTGGTATCTAAGAAATCTTCAGCACTGCAACCTTAATGGAAATTAAGGGCAAAAAAGTGGCCTTTTTATTCTTCTTCTTCTCAGTAAAAACTAGATCTCTGCTGGGCACTTTATATACTTCAGTCAACATGGTTAAAAAGATACCTGTGCACATTATCAAAGGACTTTAAATAAGAAATTTACTAGTTCGGAACAGGGAAATGGATGGACCAGAAAGAGCTTTAAGTTCAAAAATCCACAAAGATCAGAACTTAAAATTGAAATAATAAATTAGCCAAATGAAAGGCAGTTTTGGTTCTCCTTCTGCCACTTCACAGATTTTTACTTCAGTATTTGAGGAACATTTCCTTATTCCACATGTAATCAATCTTCACATAAACCTATAAGGTCCTTAATTTTCAATCCCTACAAGATTTCTCATAGTAAAGTATCCTACTATACAAACAATCAAAGAACAACATAAATACTGAAAACAAGAGCAAAGTCATACATTTAGGATTCGACAACTAAGCAGGTTGATCATGGAGATGCTGAAGGTGGCTAACTGGGGGGGTGGCTGGAAGAGAGATGTATTACAAAATACGTAAAAAAACCTCTAGGATCATAA